TAAAATAATGATGCTTTTTAAATACTGTATCTATGAACCAGTTCGATTTTGTATATTTAATTAAGCCTTAATAGACGTCAGACTTATTAGCATATTGAAAGTATAAACCTTCATAATTTAGAAACGCATCACTCAAATCAAGAAATATTTTACCATTCAACTATTTACTTCATGTATGATCAGTACTGAAAGTATTGTCGAAGGGTTCATTTGCACTTTAATTCTGAATCAATCTAACAAATAAAGAAGTGCGCGTTGGTTCGTTAATAATCTCTTTTATCCTCTCTATCAGGAATGCTCGCAGCATGGTTAAGAATGAAGTACCCAAATGTGGTTATTGGGTAGGTAATGCAAATATATAACTCATATAGGAATATATATGGTCATAAATATAATCAAATACCATTCTTAAACGATAGTACTGGTGAAACCTCCGATTCACACCGACCTACCAACGACCCACGTCCGACCCACGTCCGACCCATCTCCGACACACGTCCGGCCCATCTCCGACCCACGTCCGACCCATCTCCGACCCGACCCCGCGGGTAAAAATAACGGGAAGGGAATGGAAGGTTAAATTATGGAGAAGGCTTGATCATGGCCCAGCTGCCAGATTGGATCGGTATGAGTTGAGTATGGGACTATTATCACTTATACGTATAAATATATTTTTTCATATTTTTTCATTATTAGTTCCTTAGCAGCATCTGCTCCCATTCTGCAGTTTCAAGGATTAACTCCATGTGAGGTACCTAACAACAAACCCCCCCAAAATATGAATTATATGATCGCTTATTTGTTGTGCTTATTCATATCCGATTGTTCGTCCTCCGCCACTGTGCGTCTGTGCGTTAGTTTTCTGTATATGTACTCAAATTTTAAGCCGTTTGCAGGATTTTTATCGCATCGTTACCGATGACTTTAATCGCGATGGAGGCAAACCTTGCACTGACTCGATAAGAAAATCTTGGGACATCATTAAGAAGCTAAAACCAACAGGTAAGAGACTGAAATGGGCTCGCTCAGTTAGTTGGACAATATTCTGTTGTACGGGAGAGGCCGTGACTTGAGCCTCCGCACGCAGGCGGACCTATTGGGACCGTAACGACTGTGAGGCATAAGCGAGGCAATAAATACCAAATACCCCTTAAAACTATGGAAATTGCATTTCTGAGGTTTTCAAAAAACAAACTTTTTCGGGGAGCTTCGGGGCGTATGCCCGAACCTCTGTCTGCTTCGCCGTTCGTTTGGCCTCGTAAAACAATTCGGTCTGGCTACGGCCCTGAACATCCAGGGTCTTGGATTGGCGGTCCCGTCTCAATCCTTGTCAGTTGGGATTTTAATTCACGTTGTTACCCTCTCTAAATAAAGTTGATTGATTGATATTTTTAAGGTACCTTAACAAACCTCGTTAACAAACCCGACCTACCTAATTTGTTGTGTGATTTTCAACTCTTTTCTCTCCTGTGCCAATAATGAATACTCTTTTATTCTTGTATTAGAAAGTGGTCGCCGAATTCTTTCCAAGGTGTTTAGACTGTGTTCACCACTCCAAAGCGAAGACAACGTTACTGTGCTTGAAGACTGGCTGAGCGAGACCTGGGTCAACCTAGCTATGGGTAGGAAATCTTGAGTGGTACTATCTAACTGTGAAAGAAAAATTATTGAGATGTATATCCATATTGATGTTCTTCTCATGTACAACTGAGCGCAATCGTTAAGCAAAGAAAAGATACTCTAGGGAATGACACGTGGTCTGAATGCATGGGAAAACATTACGCCTGACCGCGCCCGAGCTGAGGAGGACTATTCCATTACTCGCGCAAAAACAAAACCTTCATCAGCAGCGCATCTAATTGTATTTCTTTTGTCCAGTTGATTACCCATATGCAGCCAGCTTCCTTGAGCCTTTGCCAGCATGGCCGATCAAGGTATGTTTACGCAAATACCATTGGGAATTTAATAATAATACTATTTAATCTGTATACTCAACCACATGACAACGCCGAAAATCTTATAAAATAAATTTATTTCCCCGTAAAATAACACCAAATTCTTCGTGACTTAGTTACTCCCAGAAATAAAGCCATATAATCATGATGTAAGCGAATGCATTCCTCGAATGGCAGCAAAAATTATACACACCCATACAGCAACAGTTGAAAAATATAATTACGTTCATATTCTACTATTAGTTAGATCTGTATATACCATGGTATATAATATAGCTTATTTCAAGAAAAAGGAAAATACAATACGCAAACGAATTCATCGATAATTGACCCTCTGAAGGAGCGAGAATAAGGAAAAACTTCGGGTACGTGCTTCACGTACATATATACATAAACTTTATTTCAACACKATAAGTGATTAAAGCATAGGCTATGGGGTCGTGCAACTTAATCTAATACAATAAAAACATAAAGGAAACCAAATAAGTATTAGCCTAAATCAATAATCTAAAAAATAATCTTATGATGAAAGAAAATACGTGCCTATAAGGTGCACAAATACGTAAACGTTAGATTATTGTTAGTTCTTGCGCAGAATCGCACAATTTGTAATCGCGACAAAATAGGGTTTTAGTAGACGTCAATCAAAGTGTTTCCATGACATTGTCAGAAAACACAAAGTTTTCGAGGGCACGTGACTATGGAATGTCATGGAAACGCCTTGACTGACGTCGTCCATCGAAACCTCCTTTAATAGACAGGAATTTATTTTTCCTTCAGGTGACTTGTTCAAAGTTACAAAACGAAGATCTTCCAGACATTGCACTACTAGGTGCTATAGCCGATGCAGTTGGGGTTTACTACAACAGCACTGGAAAAACAAAGTGCTTTAATACCTCACAGCAAGCTGTGTCTTCTCTTGGGGATAAAGGATGGTATTTCCAGGTACGAAAAATGCCGGAATACTTTATTAGTGTTGGATGAGAAAAGGATCGAGTTGAGGGAAGGGAGGATACAAGAGATTATGAGAGGAGAGGAGAGGAGAGGAGAGGAGAGGAGAGGAGAGGAGACGAGACGAGACATAGGATGAAATATATTGAATGCATAGAAAATACAGTGTTCATGGGTTTGATTAACTTCGTACTACCTTCCAAACATAGGCATGCTCAGAAATGGTGATGCCTCTTTGCACGGACGGGAAAAACGACATGTTTTATCCTCAAAAGGTAAAGTACAACCTCTTATTCCTGTGTCAGATTATATATTACTCTGTCTTGGTAATATATACGTATAGTCTCTAATCATGCATGCACCTACTTAGTCGTCCCCTTTCCACGTATCTACAGTGGGACTTCGAAAGCTATGCTAAAGGATGTCAAGAATCCCAGAAAGTCACTCCCCTTCAATACTGGGTAGAGACAGAGTATGGTGGACGCAGCTTAGAGGCTCACAGCAACATTATATTCAGGTAACAAGATTATATATTTATTGCAAAGATGAGAATATGTGGACCGCGTAGCACTTCTGAAATACATGAAGATATAGAAATATAGATAAGTTATAGTGCTTGGTCGTGGGCTCGATTCCCAGCGAGGTCGGAAATTAATTTTTCCGAATTTAATTCCAAGGGCTTTCGCCCGGAATAACCTCGTTCCCAAGCACTATAACTTATCTATATTTCTATATCTCCATATATATTTATTGCATTAGAACACTGCAATCTTTCAAAGACATAGAATAGAAATGTTATATCAACTGGTTGCGTGTAGTATTTTTACAAGTTGTAGAATTGTTTCCAGCCGTTATTAGTGTCGTCACGCAACGCTCGAGGGAGCGTTGCGTGACGACACTAACAACAGCTTTTGGGGGAGACTAGCTGAAGAATGGCTGTTTACAAAGAAGAAAAAAAGAAAAGAAAATTAGAAAAAATGGCTGATTGCTCATGAGGGACAGTATTTGGCTCGGATCATTAAAGGCTGGTAATGAGGCGTATGATTGAGATCCATTCAGTTGATACCAAACAAGTCGTATCACCAAGCAAAGAATACTCTCTGCATGATTGATAGCACATGACAGGCAGTGTACATGTTTGCCTGTCATTATAATTATAGGCTGGTCATGAGATTCATTCACTAAGTTGATTGCTTTCAAGCAATAGAAAACACATGACGGGCAGGCTTTGCCTGTCGTTCAGGGGTAGGCTGCTGGTTATGAAATTCATAAGATTAAGGTGATTGATACCAAGAAATAAATACTATCTGGTTAAAAAATTAATGGTAGATATTGATGAACCAGATTCCTAAATTTCGGCTGATTGATTCCATGCATGCGCAATTTAAATGAGATTTAATGGTTTAGCACCATCACTCGTGACGACAGCCATGCTAGATGGCAGGAACAATACCATCGTTTTACGTAAGAAAGTTCTGCCATCTAACCACAGGCAGCCCAAGCTGTATTATGGGCGTGGGGAACGTGATGGTGTAAAAAATCTCTATTCTTAATTAGTTGCGAGTTAAAAATAGTAATGGAACTCTCTAATAAAGTAATCATTCTCCTGATTTTGTTTTTCATTTCAGTAATGGTCGATTGGATCCTTGGTATGCTGGCGGAGTGACCACGAGTGTATCATCTAGTTTAGTAGCTGTTATCATAGAAGATGGCGCCCATCACTTGGACTTGAGACACAAGAACAAAAATGACACTCCATCTGTCATCCGCGCAAGAGAAATCGAAAAACATTACCTACATGAATGGATAGCCACGTATAACGAAAACGATACCAAGAAAGTATTATTTTGAGCTGAATTTCGGCCATTTTGTTAACATGCCGACAAAATGACGTCATCGAAGCATTCAGCCAATCAGAAAGCGAAGTTCTTAGTTTAAGTAAAGGGGTTATTATATAAGAGCAGTTTTCGTATATGGGGGAAGAGTAATCGATCGTACGTACTATACGGCGTACGGTATCCTGCCTTAGCTGTAACAACTACGACTTGGGGAAAAAGGAAGCCATTTCGATGTTACGCGGCATGTCGTACCATGTACGTGGTGATCGTCAGTACCGCACGTTTCTTACGTACGAAAATCGCTCTAAGGTTTATATCATTCGTATTTTCGTTCGTTTCTCAATTCTGATTTCCATCTGCCTTTTTTTTTCTATTTCATGCTGAATTTTTTACAAATAAACACACCAAACAAACTGAAGTGATTATTTTCTTAGAAGATATAATAAAATACAAATCCGTAAAACATAATCGGGTTTGTAAAATTAAGGGGAAAACCGTGTGAAAATGAAAAGGGGAAGTAAACCTCTTTGGACCTTTTTCGTTTTCCTTCAATGCGTTCGAATGTGAAATATCCCCCCAGAAATATAAATTCTCTGCGAAAATTGGGACACACTCGAACGCCATCGAAATAATGGTGGCTGGCTCTCTGTGTTAAAAATTCCCTCGTGAGGGCATAGATTGAAGAATAGACGTCGAGGTATATTCCCAACTAAGAAGATAATATGCATAAATACAATAAATTATGTCAGAATAACTAGAAACCTATCTATATATATCCATTATTACTGCGCGTGCTCGTCAAAATGTTAGATAGGCTTGGGCTTCCTGTGTTTAGCATCACCCACGGCAACATTCAATCAGTTCATCCTTTTATCCTACCTTATACAGTCCAAATTTTTATAGTTAAGAATGATAAATCTTATTGGACGTTAACTGGGAGTATATTTCCTT